GGCTGGGTTCCAAGACACATCCCTGTGCTGTCTGGGAAGTCACTAGCTGGGAGTCCCGGGACCTGCCATGGCCACCTTAACTGATCAAGCCTCAGCCTCCAGAGGCAGGGGATGGGGCCAGTATCTGGCTCACTGGTGGTCATGTGGATTAAATGAGGCAGACAGGGTTAGTACTTAGCACATTGCTAGGCACAAGTAGTAGCTATCATGTATTGAACACTTACTGTCAACCTACAAAATGGAGAAAACAATAGCTAATTTGTCTGGGGGAATCAATGAAATGTGTATCAGCTGGGTGCAGTGGCTCATGCCTGTAATCCCAGCACTGGGGGAGGCCAAGGCAGGCAGATTATCTGAGGTCAGGAGTTCGAAACCAGCCTGGCCAACATGGTGAAACTCTGTCTCTACTAAAAATACAAAAATTAGCAGGGTGTGGTGGTAGGTGCCTATAATCCCAGCTACACGGGAGGCTGAGGTTGCAGTGAGCCGAGATCGCACCACTGCACTCCAAACTGGGCCACAGAGCGAGACTCTGTTTCGGAAAAAAAAAAAAAAAAAAAAAAAGAAAGAAATGCATATCAATATCTTTGTCATAGGCAGAGCGCCTAACGGAACATTACAAACCCTAGTTTCCTTCCAGGTAGGGCCACTCTATCTTAGAGCAACAGAAGCAGAGGAACACTTATTATTGGAGTCTAGAGCTCTGGTTTCTCCCTACAAAGAGCATTACAGTACCAACAAGACCTCGGCTGAATTTCTTACTTCTTTTTTTGGAGACCGAATCCCACTTTGTTGTCCAGGGTGGAATGCAGTGCCACGATCTTGGCTCACTGCAACCTTCGCTTCCCAGGTTCAGGCAATTCTCCTGTGTCAGCCTCGTGAGTAGGTGGGATTACAGGAACCTGCCACCATGCTAGGCTAGTTTTCGTATTTTTAGTAGAAATGCGGTTTTGCCACGTTGGCCAGGCTGGTCTTGAACTCCTGACCTTAAGTGATCCACCTGCCTTGGCCTCCCAAAGTGCTGGGATTACAGGTGTAAGCCACCATGCCAGCTTGAGTTTCTTATTTCTTTTTTTTTTTTTTGAGACGGAGTTTCACTCTTGGCTACCCAGGCTGGAGTGCAATGGCGCGGTCTCGGCTCACCGCAACCTCCGCCGCCTCCTGGATTCAGGCAATTCTCCTGCCTCAACCTCCTGAGTAGCTGGGATTACAGGCATGCGCCACCATGCCCAGCTAATGTTTTTTGTATTTTTAGTAGAGATGGGGTTTCACCATGTTGATCAGGATGGTCTCAATCTCTTGACCTCATGATCCACCCGCCTCGGCCTCCCAAAGTGCTGCCCCACTTTCCCAAGGACCACTGAGATGGAAACTCTGGGAAAGGGGAGAAGGACCCCATTTAGACATACAGAGTTTCTTGAGAAGGAAGTCCCCGTTCACCCCCTCCCCTCCCCCAACCTTTTTTTTTTTTTTTGGGTAGAGACGAGATCTCACTATGTTGCCCAGGCTGGTCTCAGTCTCAAACTCCTGGGCTCAAGCGATCCTCCCACCTCGGCCTCCCAAAGTCCTGGGATTATTGGCACAAGTCACTGCACCTGGCCAGGAAGCTCCGCTGTAACTCCAAGATAATCATCTCCAGAATTACTGAGTTCACAGGAGCCTGAAGGTGGGAACCAGGGCCTACACTGTTTTGCCAGCAAAGAAAGAGATCCCAACACACAAACAATTACATACCCTGTCCATTTCAAATCTAAACACCCTGCAGCTCAATCTCTGTTCTGCCCTACAAGAGCTCCAACTTGGTTGGTATAAAACAGCCTGCCCACCCTGGGAAAGAGGTTGATGGCCCTTGGCTAACTGTGTGAACCCACCCACCTTGCTCCCTGGGGTGCCTGCACTCTCTGTCTCTGGGATCGATTGGGCACTGACTGGGTGGGTGCCAGGCTTGGCCACAGTGGCACTTGCCCAGTTGGGCAGGCTGACCCAGCGCTAGCTGCCCCAGGAGAGGTGTGCAATGATTATTGTGAAATATGCATTCATTCCGATACCAACTGCAAAGGCTGGCTGAATCTGCATTCAGTGCCAGGCACTGAGCTGCTTGCTTTACACACAGCCTCGTGCAATTCCGAGGTAGCTGCCATAACCCCCAACTTACACAAGAGGAAATGGAGGCTTGCAAAGTGAAGTAACTTGGCTCCACACATTCTGGCTAGTACAGCTGAGCTGGCTCAGGCCTGCCTGGCCGGCACTGTGAACTCAGGCTCAAGGGTTTAGGCCTTATCCTATGACTGGTGGTGAATGGGGGGAGGAGGGCTTTAAGCAGGGGAGCGCCAAGGCGGGTACTGCTGCTCCTCTCTCCCCATGGGGCATGTGGGGAAGGCCATGTGCAAAGCTGGTGGGCACAGCTGGAGAGCCACTTCCACCTCCTTAGGCCTAGACTCCCCAGCAGGACGGCCAGTGTTACAGGCACTCCTCAGCCTCTGTCCTGAGTGGTTTTGGACATAGCTGGTCTTCCCAACAAGAGGCCACCCAGCCAACTGCTCTCTGTGCCACTCGTTTCCACTGAGATATTCATTTAAGAGCTGGATCAAGATAAGGTAACAGCCCCACCTTGCACACAAATTCAAACGAAAACAAACTGGCAAACCTCAGTTTGATGCTTTATGTAGGAAAGGGATGCGTTTTAGAAAAAAGAACTCTTACAATGTTTGTTAACATTTTTTGCAATAACTGCATGGGCCATCTGCAAACTCAACACACATAACGGTGGGATTTTCTGCTAGAGGGACTCTGGTGCGGACGGTGAGTCACTTTGAAGGAGCTGGGATTCAAACGTCTGGGCATGACGGGGTGCAGCTCAGCACTGAGTAAGGGGCTCGAGTACTTCACATTTCTAAAGTTCTAGAAGGCCGGGCGCGGTGGCTCAAGCCTGTAATCCCAGCACTTTGGGAGGCCGAGGCGGGTGGATCACGAGGTCAAGATATCGAGACCATCCTGGTCAACATGGTGAAACCCCGTCTCTACTAAAAATACAAAAAAAAAATTAGCTGGGCATGGTGGCACGTGCCTGTAATCCTAGCTACTCAGGAGGCTGAGGCAGGAGAATTGCCTGAACCCAGGAGGCGGAGGTTGCGGTGAGCCGAGATCGCGCCATTGCACTCCAGCCTGGGTAACAAGAGCGAAACTCCGTCTCAAAAAAAAAAAAAAAAAAAAAAGTTCTAGAGAAGGCAGGCATCACATCATCCAATGCCTGCACCTCACAGACAGGAGAACCACAGCTCAGAAATCCTGGGACTTGGCTGGTGATAGTGTCCCCAGGATTTGCTGGTGGCTCTCCTCTCATCTCCTGGGCTAAGGAAGTACACACAAATGTAGGTGTCCCCCCAAAACCTGCAAGAATCGGATTCTGTGCTCGCCCAGGAAGCTCAAAGCCACAGCTTTTGAGTGTGTGTGCTACGCCAAGCCTCCACGGTAGCCTCCCAGGCCCTCTGGCACCCAGAGGCATAACCAAAAGGGCAAAGGGAGGAGCTGCATGAGACTGCAACTTGTAGTAGGGGTGGGGGTATTTGTGTGAGTGCCAAAGTCCAAAAAAAAAAAAAAAAAAGACTGTCAAATCGATCGATGGACTCAGCACAAAGTTCACACTGGATTTCTGTCTGGGATTGGAGATCATCGGCCCCAACCTCTGGTGTCAACCCTTGCTCCGGGTGCTCCGATCCCTTCCCCCTCCCCTTGCCAATGCCAGCTTGGCAGGGGCAGGAAGTGGGAGCCTGGTGGCCCTGGCATTCCCAGCACCCAGCTCTGGCCGGACAGGCCTCTGGTGACCTCACTTCCACCTAACCAGTTGATCCCCTCGGGCTTCGCCTTCCACCTTAATGCTGAACTGTGCGGTCTCTCTGTCCAGGGAGGATCCTCCTGGCCCCACGGACACTCCCACCACACACTGCCACCAGGGAGAGCTGGTGCAAGCTGAAACGACCCTAGGAGGCTCAGGCCCTGCCCTCCAGTGTGCATCCGAAGCTTCCCCACTCCTCTCTGGGGACAGGAGGCTGAGCACAACTCCTGTTTTGCCAGCTGCCCCTCCTGCAGCTGATCCAAACTGGGATCCCATGGGCAAACACCAAACATGGGCAAAAAGCAACCAGCCTGCTGGCTGTGTGGGCACCAGAGTGAGTGTGGCAAGGCCAGGGCAAGACCACCAGCTCGCCATGTGCCTCAGGAGCTCTCTCCCCTCCCCTCAGCCATCTTTCCCTTCTTCCAAGGTCTTCCCCCTCCCCTCCCTGATACAGGCGCTTACTTCTCACATTCCTGAGAGTCGTAAATCCTCCTGGGTGGCAGAACCACCACTCAGAGATGCCTTGGCTCCTCCTCCCCCCAGGCACCCCCACACAGCCCTGAGACGGTGGGGCTTTCTCTCCCTTGGAAGTTACACCGGACTCCGGGAGGATGAAGCCCAGCAGGGCTGAAGCTGATGGCACACACCGACGGGCTGCGGGAGGGCCTCCTCGCGCCGGGGCTCCGCAAAGGAGGAGGAAGGCTATTCCCCTAGCTTTTGAAGTAGGGGTAGTGGACGAAGCTGGCACCTCTGGGGCGGAGATTCCTTCCTCCTGAGCCCATCTGCAGACTGGGGTGAAAGAGGAGAGGGCGCCAGGGAGGGGCAGGATTGGGGGATTACGAGCAGACACACTCACAGACCTGAGGGAAGGGCGACTGGGTGCCCCTGCGCCGCCCTCTCAAAGGCCAGGGAACAAGAGGTGCAGGTGGCAAAGGCGCTCAGGCTCCCAGCACAGCCAGGGAAGGAGAGGAGGTCGCGGGACGCAGCCCCAGGCCTGCCTAGGATCTAGCGCGGCGCCTGGTCGGCGGGCGGAAGCGGTCTCCCTCCCGCAGCTAGAGTTTCAGAAAGACGACGGCGGGCGCGGGGCTGGACGGCCGGGGCGCCTGGGTCCCTCCCGATCCCCCTCCGACCCCATTCCAGCCGGCGCCGCCCAGGCCCGGCTTACCTGCTCCGGGTGGCTCTTATTGGCCTCGCTAGGCTCATTTTCGTTGCCAGCCTCCTGCGCCTCGGCGGCGGCCGGCGACTCGGCCTGCCCCGGCGCTTCCTGGGTGCGCAGCAGCTCCTCGCGGACCTGGACGCCGAGCTTCTGCAGCTGCTCGTCCGTCTCGGGGTCGACCACCAGCAGGCGCACGGCATTGAGCGCGGCGCGGATGCGGCTCACCACCTGCTGGTGGGTCTCCTTCTCCACGTTCTCGCCGTTCACCTCCACCAGCCGGTCCCCGGCCAGCAGCCCCGCCTTCTCGGCCGGCGAGCCGGGCTCCACCAGCCGGATGTACTGGCCCACCTTGCCCTTCTCGCCGTGCAGGTGGAAGCCGTAGCCGTTCGGACCCTTCTCCAGGCAGCAGAGCCGGGGCAGGGGCGCCCCGGCCGCCGCGTCCGCGCTCATCTCGCCCTGCGACGGCTCAGCTGCGCCACTCGGGGTTCCGTTGGGGACGGGACGGCTCAGTCCTTCTTCCCGCCCAGAGAACTGGGAGCGCGGCAGGTAAGCCCAGCGCTGCGGGACGGGCGAAGCGAGCAGGTGTCCCGGGAACCGCCGGCCGCCGCGAGCCTTGAGGAGAAAAGAGAGGAGCGCGGACCAATCCCCACCCCGCGCGGCGTCTGAGCTTTCCAGAGCCCGCCCAGGCTCCTTACCCCGGGGGCGGGGCCACGCAGAGGGTGTGGAACTCCGCGAGCCAATCGGGGGCCGCAGGCCGGGGCGCTGCGGCCGGGTGAACGGCGCCGGCCAATGGAAACGCGCGGGGCGGGGCCTGTGCTCGGCGCGGAGCCCAGTGGCGGGCGAAGACAGAGCGCTCAGGAAGTGGAAGTGTTTGTTGCCGAGCGGCCGGTGCTGGGGCGGCAGGGGCGGGGCCCGCTCAGTTCTCGGTTCTGGGCGGTGGGGCTCGCCGGCTCCGGCCTGGTTTCCCCTACTAGTGGCGGAGAGTGAGGAGAGGCCCTCGGATAAAGGACCCTAACTTTTTTTTCTTGTTTTTTTTTTTTTGAGACGGAGTCTTGCTCTGTCGCCAGGCTGGAGTGAAGTCGCGCGATCTCGGCTCGCTGCAACCTCCGCCTCCTGGATTCAAGCAATTCTCCTGCCTCAGCCTCCCGAGTAGCTGGGATTACAGGCGCCTGCCACCATGCCCGGCTATTTTTTTGTATTTTTAGTAGAGACGGGGTTTCCACGTGTTGGCCAGGCTGGTTTCAAACTCCTCACCTCAGGTGATCCGCCCACCTCGGCCTCCCAAAGTGCTGGGATTACCGGTGTGAGCCACTGCACTGGCCAACGTTTTAACAGCCTTTAGCCAAAGCATGGGTGCAGCTCCGCTTAAGGGGGAGCGGCTGTTGCCGGGGCAACCGCTCCCGCGGGGCAGCGAGGACCAGGCAGTCTTGAGAATTAAGACTGAGGGCCTCCTCGGACCCTACAGAGTTGTTTGAATAACATTTTTCCGTTTGTGGGAACCCTAACCCTAATCCAGTGGGAACCCTAACCCTAACCCTAATCCACTTTGCACTGTCCCAGGACTCGCATACAGGAGTGCAGGTTCTGATCCCTGCTTGGGAAGGTGCAGAGGTGCGGGCTCGGTGGAGAGCCTGGGACCTCGAGGGGCAACTCACTGAAGACAGGACACCTAGGGCAACGGCGTGGGCTTTGGTGTCAGCGTTTGGCTAGGGAGGTGGGATGGAGAGAGGCAGAACAGACTCAGGTAATCAACCTCTGGGTACACTCCACAGGGAACAGAGCCTTGGTTTTTTTTTTTCAACAGAGAAAGAAAAATGATTAGGACTGTAAGATTAGCCTTCTAGCTCCCTCTTGCCAAAGAGAGGCTGGTCACAGAGGTAGGGGGACAGTTTGTTAAGGGGGAGCTGACCCTCAGGACAGACACTGAGGAAGGAGTATGGAATGATTTTGGCAGTGAATGACAATTCCATTAACTGGACACCCCTCCCACACTCACTTCAAAGAAACAGTGGACAGGATGTGCTTTCCAAAATACTGCAATTTAATTCTGAAAAACTCAAATGCAAGAGGCCCAGAGCTGTCTAGGTGATTGGATCTCCTGCAACCTGTCTTGGGCCCCAGAAGAGACTGGCAATGTCAGGCTCCTCCCTGCTGTGCCTGGGAAAGGCCACGGAGAACTTCCTTATCGGGCCCAAACTGGAGCCGCTGACTGCTCAGAGCAAGATTTCTGCCTTGAAAGCAAATGCAGTAGCCTCAGAAATGTGCAGCACATGCTTCTTCCTCCCTGTCTCCCCCTCCCCAGGCCTACAGAGCTGCAGAAAAGGTGCCTGTAGGTCATGACCTCGTGTCTCCTGTCCACTTCCAATGGCAGGGGTCAAAGCTTTGGGAGACATGTGACCAAGGAGGCCACAGGAACTCCTTGCTACCTCTCTCTCTACCCCAGACGTACCCACATGGACTTGTTTTACACATACTGCATTGGTTTAATTCGTTCATGGGTGACCTCCCACCCCCTAACCTGACTCAGTAGGAGGGGAGGTAAAGCGGTTTAGGCCCTGGTATCTGTTTGAGAAGTTAAAAAAAAGGTGGCCAGGTATGGTGGCTCACGCCTGTAATCCTAGTACTTTGGGAGGCTGAGGTGGGCGGATTGCCTGAGCTCAGGAGTTTGAGACCAGCCTGGGCAACACGGTGAAACCCCATCTCTACTAAAATACAAAAAATTAGCCAGGTGTGGTGGCATGTGCCTGTAGTCCCAGCTACTTGGGAGACTGAGGCAGGAAAATCACTTGAACCCGGGAGCTGAGATGGCGCCACTGCACTCCAGCCTGGGCAGCAGAATGAGACAAGTCTCCAAAAAAAAAAAAAAAAAAAAGGCATGGGTGGTCAGGGAGGAGGCAGAGCTTGGGTTTAAAGGGATGAATGTCAGTGGGGTTTGCTGAGTCTCATCTCCCACCAGCTCCAGGAGCCAGGGATTCCTCTTTGTTCACAACACATTCCAAACCTAGGAAAGGGATTTCTCCTTATCTGGCTCTTAACTCAGGAAAGCTAAACATTTCGGCTGTTTGAAGAAATCGCCTGTGGAGCTGCATGCCTGCCAAAGGATTGGGATAAGAAGAAACATCTAGGCTGGGCGTGGTGGCTCCTGCCTGTAATCCCACCCTAGGCTGGCAGGTCCCTTGAGCTCAGGAGTTCAAGACTAGCCTAAGCAACATGGCAAAACCCTGTGTCTACAAAAAATACAAAAATCAGCCAGGCGTTGTGGTGCACACCAGTAATCCCAGCTACTTGGGAGGCTGAGATGGAAGGATCGCTTGAGCTCCAGGGGACAGAGGTTGCAGTGGGCAGAGATTGCACCACTGCACCCCAGCCTTGGTGACAGAGCAAGACTCCATCTCAAAAAAATAAAAAGCAGAAAGTCTTTTCCTAGTTCTGACCTGAGGTTTTTAGGGGCACAGGCAGAAAGGTAGCTAAGCCAGGGGTTCAGCGGAGAGGGGCTTCCCCAGGATCTGAGGTCCAGAGAACAGGAGCCTGGAACCAGTATTTCCAGGTACCCCAATGTGCTTGTGTGCTGGAGAAAGGGGGCACGCCTCCAGGGGGGTGTTAGTAAGGCCAGAGGTCGCCAGCCAGACCCTAGTCTCTGCTCTTTGGCTTCCCCCTCCTATCTCCCGTATCTCTTAACGTCTCTGAGGCTTTGGTCTCCCTCACAGCACAAAGGCTCACGTATTTGGGGGATGGGGCACAGATAAGCTCCTGGAGAGCAGGAGCCAGTGAAGGCTGCGGTCAGCTCAGCCTCTCCCCAGCTGAACTGAGGGTGAGGTGGAGTCATCACCTGCCCTCACCCCCAAAGTGCATCTGTGTCCCCTGGGGCGGAGCTGGGGACGTAACATCACCACCTTTGTTATGTCTAGGAGGGAGGCCCAGCCCCACAAGTCCTAGAAAGCAAAAGGGGCACCAGGTCCCAGCCTTGGTTTTCTGGGCATCCAGGTGGTTTTTTTTGGTACTAAATTATGTACTATTAAAATAAAAGCTAAGTGTTTTACCCTCCCCGTGGATGGGGAGACCGCAGGAACTCAAGCAGGAGCTGGAGTACTGCTCCCTGGCAGGAACGGGCTGTGCACTGGGTCCTCCATCTTTCGCCCAATTGGCTCAGGCGCTCGGAATAAGCCAGGCCTGCGGGGATGGCTGCATCCCCTGGACCTCCGGAGCCTCCTCTCTGCCCCTTGGGATTCACACGAAGGAACAGCAGCTGGAGCGCTTCTTCTGGGACTCCACATAGTCTCGGATCTGGAAGCTGGGCTCATCCGCTGACTGCCCCGCCCGGTATTTCAGCTCCCTTGAAGAAGAGGCAATAGGCGGGGCTGGGCCCGGCTGGGTTGAGGAGCTGAGCAGCCCCCTCCCCCCTCCCCATGGTCTGGAGCAAATGGACCTCAGCCTGCAGAATGCAGGTGTGTCCAGGGGCGGGGCCCTGCTGGATTCCTGGAGGGTGCCGCCCTGCCCTACACAGTTCCCTTCCCTGCTCAGCTCTCACTTGGCGATGGCCAGAAAGGCTAACTCCACGTTCATGCCCGTCTTGGCGCTGGTCTCCAGGAAGGGAACTCCGTACTCCTGCCCGGGAGAGTGTGTCCTCAGGGCCAGCCTCAGGCTGCCCCCACCCTTCACCCTGTCCCACAGACAGCCACTTACCCTGGCCAGGGTCTCTCCGTCCTCCGAACGGATCACTCTTTCGCTGCTCATATCCGCCTGTCAAGCCCAAATGGGTCACTCTGGGGAAGAAGGCCTCCGCCCCAGCCGGACCGTATTTTGCCCCAGGCATAGGCACTGCCTGCCCTCTGCTGGTGGCTCAAGGCACTGCGGGCAGGTGAGATTGGCTTGGGGCCAGGGTTTCTGCCCAATTTGCTACCAGCTTTGGGATCTCACCTTTGGTAAAGGGTGTGGTGACCCAATCTTGGAAGGGGACAGCAGTTGGGGCTAACTCTTTGCAGTCTTAGCCCCTGACCTAGGACCCTGTTCACTCTTCTCTGTGAGGGGGCTGAGAACTGGGCATCCCTTGCTTTCTCAGGCAACAAGTTGGACTTTCCAGAGCTTTAAAGAGGGCAGGTGGGCTGGGCAGAAACCTCCAGATATGTCTGATCTCCGAGCTGCAGCCTGCAGAGTCCTTTTCAGGAAGGATGCCTAGACAACTGTTCTTGGGTGGTTATGAGGCTGGCCAGGGCTGAGGAAGTGCAGGGCTGGGCTGACCCTGCCCCGGAGCCACTCACCTTGTTGCCTAGCAGCATGATCACCACATCCCTCTGGGCATACTCATGAATCTCAGTGAGCCAGGCCTGTGGGAGAGGCATGCTGAGACTGGCATTCTCCTCCTGCCGCCCCTTCCTTCTTCTGCCCGGTTTGACTATCCCCAGTTACTGACTACCTTCAACATGATGCCCTGTGGAGTCTCTCATCTGTACCTTTGTTCTGGCCTGTCCAGGCCTGGGTGGCCTTCCTTGTGGCTCACACAATGGCTTCACCCTCCCCATTTCATGCTGTACAACTGTCAGTTCTGTGGAAGATCCAGCTGTATGGAGACCTTATCTAACAAATCAGTTGGTTGTCACCAGTGATTTCTTGGTGTGTCCTCTTGAAGATTCTAAGACCACATAAGGGTTTCAGTGATCAAAAGTACTGTGATCGATTAGTGATGTCTGCCACAAGCATGGGGTTGGAGGTGGCAGTATGAGTGCCGTGGATTTTCCATCCTTTTTCTATATAGATGTTTTATTCTCCTAGTTTGCTTGTCAGCAAACTGTCCTTGAGGTCAGGGAATTCATGAATCCTATACAGTGTTGTGCACCGAATTGGTGCTCGAATTTATCAAATTTTTGTCTCTATAATAGTTTGGTTGTGAGGACATAGCCACTCACTCTGCCTGACTGAGTCACTTTCTTGCAACTTGCCCTGGATGTATGTGTGGACTTTTCTGGTTGGGTTTTTCCCCTTGGTCTCTGTGGATAATTATCCAGGGTGGAGTGGGGGCCGTTCTGAACACTTTGTCACGAAACACTTTCATGAATCAGAATGAGGGCTATGCAAGTGGCACAAGGTCACAGCCGCCTGCTTGGCTTTCATGCCCACATGGCCATCAAATATAAAGCAGCAGATATGACTTCTGAGTCACAAGCAGGTGTTTTTCAGAAGGCAGCAGGATTCCACGCTCCACCCCCATTCCACAGGGCCGGAATCAGCCTCAGCCTGCGTAGACCTTGCTGTGGCTGCTTATGGGTGGGAGTCTGGGGAAGGGAGGACCTACCCTGATGTTGTCAAAAGAAGCCTTGTTGGTGATGTCATACAGCAGAAGCAAGGCTGGAGGGGGAGAGGATCACAGAGGGGACTTAGGCAGCAGCACGGGTGCTACCAAGGGGCTGGGGTAGGGGATGGAGGGTGCAAGGGACTTACCCTGAGCATCTCTGTAATAAGCATGGGTGACGCTTCGGAACCGTTCCTGCCCAGCGGTGTCCCAGATCTGGGAAGAGATGGAGAAATGGTTAGAAGGAGGCAGGGTGCAAGGACTGTCCTGGGTGGAGGGGGCCTGCTTTGTGGTATGGGATGTCTGTGGGAAGGTGGGGCTGTTTCCTTCTTTAGGTTCTCATGAGCTCCTGAGCATCCGATGACCTAGAGAGTAGCAGTTATTGAGTTCTCAAGCTCATTCGGAATCATCTCCTCTCCGCCAGCCCAGGGATTGGGGATGTCCCACCTCCTAAGAGCAGACAAAGCCTAGGCAGCTGGGGAGGAGACGGATGGAGGCTAAACTTGACTGAAGGCATTTTGAGTTGCCTTTCTTAGATGAGAGGGTGCCTGGGAACCGCTTTTTCTGCAGACATCAAACAAACAAAACCCATTTCCTCTCCTGGGCCCCACAGGAAATTACCCCAGGCAGAGGGCAGGGCTGCAGGCCTCCTGTGGTTCAGGGTGAGAAGCAAGGGCAGATCCTCCACCGTCCCTCCCTAACCCCTGCCTCTGGTCTCACCTGCAGCTTCACCCTCATGCCATCCACGGTCACCACCTTGTTCTGAAAGAGAAAAAGGCAGAGGCTGGGAGGGCAGGAGTCGGGTGGCTCTTCAGCTCTGCAGACAACCTGTCCTTGGTCCCTCTCCAGGGCTAGAGTGGGTGCAGCGAGCCCCAGAACCATCTCCAGCCGGATCATATCATCAGGGTAGCTGGAACCCTGTCTGACACCTCCACTGTGGAGTCCTCTCTTCTGGGGACTGTGTCTGCCCTTCACATAACAGCAGGGCAAGAGGAGCCTGAGAAGCTTCCTGGCTCTCTCCAGGGATCAGGCAGCCCAGGGCTGGAGGCCTGGGTGCTGCTGGAGGCCCTGCCCTTTTTTTCACTTTGGTCTCCCTCTCCTGGAGCCTGGCCTGGGACTGTGACTGAGCCCCTGCAGATGGGGTGCTTGCCTGCATCCTGGGGACCCGAGGCTACATCTGCAGCGGCATCTTTCCTCTAGCTGCCCACTAATTCTCTAGTGAAGGAAGCGTTTGCCTTCTGCCTGCTTGAAGCTGTAGAGCGCCACCTGCCAGGGTAAGATCTTTTCTCTATTGGATGCTTTGGGTGTGTAGCACTCAGCATCTCTGACGAGGATTTGTAAGATGGAGTCATCAAGGTGAGAGGGAGGGTCCCTGGTAAAAAAGGGTAGCCCCCCCGGGCCCCCCACCCTTTTTTTTTTTTTTTTTGGAGATGGGGTCTCACTCTGTCACCCAGGCTGGAGTGCAGTGGTGCGATCTTGGCTCACTGCAACCTCCACCTCCCGGGTTCAAGCAATTCCCTGCCTCAGCCGCCCGAGTAGCTGAGATTACAGATGGCTGCCACCATGCCCGGCTAATGTTTATATTTTTAGTAGAGACGGGGTTTCAGTGTCTTGGCCAGGCTAGCCTTGAACTTCTGACCTCTTGATCCACCCACCTCAGCCTCCCAAAGTGCTGGGATTACAGGCTTGAACCACCGCACCTGGTGTTTTTTTTTTTTTTTTGTTTTTATTTTTTTTTTTTTTTTTTACTAGTTTTACTTTTACTGGTTTGAACTAGGGTTACAGGTGCACGCCACCATGCCTGGAATTTTTTTTTTTTTTTTGTATTTTCAGTAGAGACAGTGTTTAACTATGTTGACCAGGCTGGTCTTGAACTCCTGACCTCAGGTGATCCTCCTGCCTTGGCCTCCTGAAGTGCTGGGATTACAAGTGTGAACCACTGCACTGGGCCAAGCCCAGTTACTAAACCCCAGAGCAGGGCTGTGCTTCCCAGGAACTCCAGAAAGACTGCTTGACTTTTGAGGTCTTGCCAAAGGGGTGCAGATAGGAGGGCAAGGAGCAGGGGCTCTGAGGGCCAAGACATTCTGCTTATGCCGTGTGTGTGGCTGCCCTGCTTGGGAGAAGTCTCCCAGGAATGGAGGTGGACATGAAGTCTCAGTCTTGTTTTCTTGCATCCTGTAGTTGGGCAAGAAGCCAACCCTGCCCAGTCTACTTTGATCTGGCCACTTCTGTGGTCCTGGGGGAGTGGGTTGTGTGCCCTCCAGCCCTGAGCCTCGGGAGTCCCTGGGAGCCAGGGTGAGCAATGGGAGGGCAACCCCCTGTGCCTGAGCCACAGCCCTGGCTTGCTGCTGGAAGCAGGTGCCTGCAGCCACCTCACCCTGAAGTCTATGCCGACAGTGGCTATGAAGGCTCCGGACAGGAAGGCCCCATCTTTGAACTGGATCAGGAAACACGTTTTGCCGACGCCTGAGTCTCCCAGAAGCATCACCTAGGAGGTGGGGGCAGAGGCAGTTAATAGGGAGTCAGAGGGAGCTTCCGGGATTCCAGGAGGGACACATGGAGAGGATCAGAGAAGTGGGTGCTGGCACGGATGCTGACCGCACCAAGGGGCACTTGCTTCCAGAAAGCCTGCCGCCGCCCTCACCCTGCTTCTCCTCTCCAAGCTCCTTGGCTCAGCCTCCTAGGCTCTCCCTCTGACCCTCCTGCCCTCATTCAAGTTCCTGGAAGCCTGAGTTGAGACCTCACCATGAATAGGTCCCCAAGTGTGCTTGGTGGCTCCAGAGAAACACCACATTTGCACAGTCTAGATGCTGGCCACATTTGCCCATAGCCACATCATGCAGAGATTCCGCCCCTCTGTGTACTCATGTCATCCCTTGTCCATTCCTGAATACACGCATGGGCTGGGCTACACTGATAGGAAAGGAAGTGTCAATATCTTGGACAAGGATTCCCACCCAAGGGAGTCTATCAAGATCTGTTGGGGGTGGGCATGGTCATTTGCATATTCTGTAACGACTATTTTTTGGGGTTTTTTTTTTTGGGGGGGGTTGCAACATTTATTTGGAAGTTTCTAATGACATTTTATGTTTATTAAAAGGTTGCATAAGGCCGGGTGCGGTGGCTCTTGTCTGTAATTCTAGCACTTTGGAGGCTAAGATGGGCGGATTACCTGAGCTCAGGAGTTTAGACCAGCCTGGCCAACATGGCGAAACCCTGTCTCTATTAAAAATACAAAAAACTAGCTGGAAGTGGTGGTGCATGTCTGTAACCTCACTTACTTGGGAGGCTGAGGCAGGAGAATAGCTTGAACCCAGGAAGCAGAAGTTGTAGTGAGCCGAAATTGCACCACTGCACTCCAGCCTGGGTAACTGGGTGAGACTCTGTCTCAAAAAAAAAAAAAAAAAAAAAGTGCTGGGCACAGTGGCTCACGTCTATAATCCAGCACTTTTGGAGGCTGAGGTGGGCGGATCCCCTGAGGTCAGGAGTTCTAGACCAGCCTGACCAATATGATGAAACCCCATCTTTACTAAAAATACAAAAATTAACCAGCATGGTGGCATGCTCCTGTAATCCCAGCTAGTCGGGAGGCTGAGACGGGAGAATAGCTTGCAATCGGGAGGCGGAGGTTGCAGTGAGCCGAGATCACGCCATTGCACTCCAGCCTGGGCAACAGGAGGAAAATTCCATCTCAAAAAGAAAAAAACTGCATGAATTAGGGAAAGTTAAAATTTATACTAAAGTGGGGAGATGTATAGTCAGAAGTTCTTTCAGCAGAAACCTTCCACGTGGGACGCATGGCTGCAGATCGGCATCCTGGGGTTGCTGTGGGTAGCAGGGGCAGAAGTGCCAGGGAGGGAACCTATGGAGGGGTATGGCCCTCTCCATTACTGTCTGGTGAGGCTCTGCTCATCTTCTCCAGGGACACGAAGGAATGGTGGAGAAGAGCCCTTTGTCCCGTCGTTCACCAGTCTTGGAGAACAGGGGTCTAGACCCAATGCTGGATTTTCCCAACTGCTGGTTAGATGGCTTCATGGGTTGAGCGGGGACTAGGTTTGAATTATTTTTGAGGCTCTGAATTTGACTGAGGAGCCCAAAGGCATTCCTGTTGTTGGCATGGGGTACTGGGATTAGTTAACTTTGGTGGAGAGGCAGGGGCGGCTGAGCAGAAGGGGTATGAAGGATGGGTCTTGGTTTGTAAATGGCCTACTGTGTGACTTCAGGAAGATTCCTTAACCTTTCTGTGGCATGGTTTCCATAGTTGGTAGAAGGAGGAGGGATAATTTCTTTGAGGCCTTTCTAGAGTCTGGTCATGGCTAGGGCCAATCATCGTGGTGCGAACCACCCAGGGAAGAGTTGGCCAGGGGTGGGAACTGCCTGCCTGTGGCCCCCATCACCCGTCTGGTCCAAGGAGTGCCTGCCAGGCTCCGCTCAGAGGGTCCTGGGCTCAGTCCCCTGGGGCAGTTCCGGGGAGGCTGGGGACCAACTCTCCTGCCAATGTTGCTTGGCCTGGGAACAGATGGCCTGGTGGGGGATAGGAGCTCTCTGGAGCCTGCACTCCTCCCTGGCTCCTGGGTTCCAGCCCCGGAGCAGGAAGGAGGTGGGGAGGGCCACTCTTTGTGTACTTTACAGATCACAGCTGCCTTGAGCAAACGATGCCAGCTACCCACCCAGCTTGGTGATTCCACCAAACACAAACAGCTGCCTAGCCTGGCCACCTCCTAGGCAAACAACCCAGCTGGTTTGCAGGGCAACAAGGTCAGGCAGTCCCCCTCAGCCTGGGGCCTGGGCAGCAGCAGCTCCCCCTTCCCCGAGGGTGCAGGGGCCCATTTCCTGCCACAAGCCCACACAGGACGCCTATCTCAACGGCTCTGGGCAGATGACTTGCTGAGTGGCTTCCCCTGAAACACTGGGGTGGAGGCTGAGGCTTCCAGCAAGGGTGAGCCCTGGTGTTGGGGAGGAAACCGAGGCACAGAGAGAGGCAGGTCTCCTTCAAGGCCATGCAGCAGAATCCAGGATAGCCCTCATGCCACCCCTAACCCTGCAGAGAAGTGGAAGCTCTAGGCTCCTTCAGCAATTCTTTCAGAGTTTCTGGTACCTGCTCACTCTAAGGACACAGATGGAAAGGGACAGACCAGTGTCCACTGCTGCCCCCACCCGCTTCCATACAGGGCACTCCTGTAGAGGGAGCAAGCCCCAGAGAGCAGCCCAGGAGCTCTGTCAAGTGCAGGATGTGAGAGACCATCCACTGAGATCTTTCTCAGGTTGGAAGAATTCCCAGGTGGGCTGCAGGCCGGCTGGCAACCTCCTTCTGGGAGGAGGGGCTTCGGATTGAGAGAGGAAGGTGGGGAGGCAGTTCCTGGAGCGGGTGGAAAGGGAGGGGAGCAGCTGGGGGACCTCAGGCCTCAAACCTGGATGTCAGGTCTCAGCTCAGAGCTTAGCTCGGAAAATGGCATTACCGCCAGTTGCTCCGCCAGCAGGGGACGTCCTCTCCGAGTCTCCGTGAGGTCCCCATCTCCCAGGGCTTCCCGGCCTGAGCTCCCAGCGCTTCCCAACCATGAGAGTTGTGCGCTTAACCCTCACCAAGAAGCATGGGCTCCCGGGGGCTCAAATCGGCCAGAGTGTGGCAGAAGAGAACTGAGTTGGGGCCGGCGGGGGGATCACTCAGTCCTGGCGATCTTCCGCGCCCCGCCCCCACCGAACCAGCAGAGACCCCTAGGGCTTGGGACGGCCCCAGGGGCTGTGTCCTGACCCTCTCTCCCTCCCACCTCTGGGAGACCCAGATACCCGCGGGGGGAGGGCTGAGTCCAACCCAGACGCAGCCAGGAAGGGGCTTGCGCCGAGGAGGGCGGGGGTCTCACGGAGAAGGCCCACCCACCTTGCCCGTGAGGTCGTAGCTCGAACTGCAGGGCGGGGAGCGATTGGGAGCCTCGCCATCCCGGGTGGCAGTGACGCCTGCCGTGCCCGTCATGTCCCCAGACGAGAGGTGAGCAGGGCCGGCCCGCAGGCGAGCGAGAGCGCAGGAGCCGCCCCGCCCACTCCTCCCCTCCCTAGACCAGGACCCCGCAGGCTCCTCCCTCCTTCCCGCCGCCCCCTGGACGCCACCGGCTAGGAGCTGGCTGTTCCCCGAGGGCGCGCAGAGCCGCGGGGTTGGTGCCAAGGGACGGACGGCTTTCCCGAGCAACACTGGCCCGGCTCTTTGGGCTTGGGCCACATCTTCCGGTCCCCTGTGGTCTCCAGCCGCGGGCTTGGTTGCCCCCGGGGGAGCGGGCGGCGGGGACCCCGCCTGCTGCGGACTCGTTCCCGTAGCCGCTGCGCAGCGCGACAGCAGGCGGCGCCCGAGCTCCGGGCCGTGGGCGGTCCCCAGGTGGCTAGGCGGGGACCGGGGGACCCCTGGGCTGCGCCTCTGCGGATAGCGCCCAGACAGTTCCGCTTCTGCTAAGGCACCGGCCCGAGCTCATCTGAACATAGTTTTGTTAACCAACCCACAGTCGCCTTGCAGCACGAGTGAGCTGAGGTGCTTTGGGGCCTCTGGCTGGTGCGGGGACTTTGACCCTGGATCACCCTGGCCTGTTGGGCTGTACCCAGAACGTCCCACCAGGGGAGAGCGCAGCACACATCTCCCAGTGGACGGCTCCTGAAGGCGGGGCGGGCCTTCTTAACCTGTGACACTCACCCTGGCCCGGAGGAGGAGCCAAATGAATTCATGAAGTCGTGGATCATTTTGAGCAGAGCTGCCAGGATATCCCAGGCACCAGGCAGCTTCTGGTGACAGAGGGTGGGGAGTGTGTCTGGGGTTGCCAGTAGCAGAGCTCAGGGGCTCTGTGACCTGGGCCGCCCTTTCCATTACCCCCATCTCCACATTCTGTAAGCAGCTTCAGGTTACCAAGGAACAGGACGGGTGCTTTACAGAGGGACTGTTTGAGGGCTGTGTAGGGAGAGGAGAGCTGCAGAGGAGTACCGGCACCTTTTTTTTTTTTTTTTTTTTTTTTTTGACGGAGTTTCACACTGTCGCCCAGCCTGGAGTGCAGTGGTGCGATCTCGCCTCACTGTAACCTCCGCTTCTCTGGTTCAAGCGATTCTCCTGCCTCAGCCTCCTGAGTAGCAGGGATTACAGGTGCGCGGCACCACAAGCGGCTACTTTTTTTTTGTATTTTTAGTAAAGACGAGGTTTCACCATGTTGGCTAAGTTGGTCTCAGACTCCCGACCTCAGGTGATCCTCCCCTTCCTACACTCCCAAAGTGCTGGGATTACAGGCATGAGCCACTGTGCCCGGCCTGCACTTCTTAACTTAGGTGTGGAGGTGAGGAGCAGGGGCAGACGTGGCTTATGGGCCACCCTAGGCCTGTGGGGACTGACTTTGTGTACCAGCCCCCAGCTCTGTATGTTTTTGACATCAGCTGGAGCTATTTTCTGGCAGCTGGGAGAAGTGCCCTGAGTGGGGACAGAATTGATCTCGAGTAAGAAGTGTGTTACCTCTTCTGGAGGTGGGCATGCTATAACCTCAGCTGCGCATAGGGCGGGACTCAAACAGGGAGCCACCGACTGGAGAGGAGGCTGCATAGCCCGCTACAGAGCCGTGGTGTTGGTTGCTATTTGGATGCCAGAGGCTCTTGCTGCAAATAATGCCAGGTCTGCTAATGCCGTGGGCTCCCGGAGACGGAGTCTCACTTTGTCGCCTAGGTTGGAGTGCAGTGGTGGGATCTCAGCTCACTGCAACCTCTGCCTCCCAACTTCAAGCAATTCTCCTGCTTCAGCCTCTGGAGCAGCTGGGACTACAGGCACCCACCACCACACCTGGCTAATTTTTGTATTCTTAGTAGAGATAAGGTTTCACTATGCTGGTCTCGAACTGCTAAACTCAGGCGATATGCCCGCCTTGGCCTCCCAAAGTCCAAAGTGCTGGGATTACAAGCCTGAGCCACTGCACCCGACCTGGGATACAATTTTCTTTCCCTCCCTTCCTCCCTCCCTCCCTCCCTCTCTCCCTCCCTTCCTTCCTTCCTTCTTTCTTTTCTTTCGAGATGGAGCTCTGTTGCCCAGGCTGGAGTGCAATGGTACGATCTTGGCTCACTGAATGTCTGCTTCCCAGGTTCAAGCCATTCTTCCACCTCAGCCTCCCGAGTAGCTGGGTTTACAGGTGCCCACCATCATTAATGGCTAATTTTTGTAGAGACAGGGTTTCACCACATTGGCCAGGCTGGTCTTGAACTCCTGACCCCAGGTGATCCGCCCACCTTAGCCTCCCAACGTGTTGGGATTACAAGCGTGAGCCACTGTGCCTGACTTGGATGCTGGTTTTCATTGCAGGAGGTAGACAGTGGAGGAAGAATGAGAGAGGGGACGGGGGCGTGCCCCGTGCTCAACTTCTACTGTAAACCATGCTGTTATAGGTTGAATTGTGTCCCTCAGAGATAGGTTGAAGTCTGAACCGCCAGCCCCTCAGATCGTGCCCTTACTCGGAAATGTGGTCATTGCAGATATTCATTAAGATGAGGTTATACTGCCGTAGGGTGGGCCATTAATCCAGTATGACTGGTGTCATGAGAAGAGAGAGACACAGGGGAAAGATGGCCAGGTGAAGGCAGAGGCAAGATGAGCCATGCGGCTGCAAGCCAAGGAATGCCAAGGGCTCCTGGGAGCCGCCAGGGCCGCGGAAGAGGAAGGAAGGGCCCTTCCCTGGAGCCTTCAGAGGGAACGTGGCCTTGCCGGTACCTTGAGTTCAGATTTCCAGCCTCCAGCTGTGGTTTGTGTTGTTGGCTCCAAGGCCCTCTGTGTCCTCTGGTGGGTTTGGAATAGAGAGGGTTGAACATCAGCGTGGGTCATCCAGAAGGAGCAGCGAAACTTCCTTGCTGCATTGCTGCATTAGTTTGAATGGAGGATTCTGATCGAGCGACAAAGTCCTTGAACACGGAGAGAGGAGCTGCGGGCTCTCCTCTGGGCAGTCCCTGTCTGGCCTGCTGGGTCTGCGGTGTGTGGGCAATGTCATACTTGGAGGGTGTGTACACTCTCCCCAGGGCCTCTGTAACGTCCTGCAGGGTGTTCAAGGGCAGCCTTGGGTGAGTCCCCCCCGGGGGGAGTGGGCCGTGGGGACCCCACCTGCTGCGGACACATTCAGGCAGGGGATGAGCAGAGTGAGGGTATTTTATTTATTTATTTTTTGAGATGGGGTCTTGCTCTGTTGCCTAGGCTGGAGTGCAATGGCGCTATCTCAGCTCACTGCAATCTCTGCCTCCCGGTTCAAGCTATTCCCCTGCCTCAGCCTCCTGAGTAGTTGGGACTGCAGGCTCATGCCACCACGCCTGGCTAATTTTTGTATTTTTAGTAGAGATGGGGTTTTGCTATGTTGGCCAGGCTGGTCTCAAACTCCTGGCCTCAAGTGATCTGCCCACCTCAATCTCCCAAACTGCTGTGATTACAGGCGTGAGCCACTGTGCCTGGCCTGAGTGAGGGTTTTGAAAGAGGAATTTTGCAGCAGTCTTAAGGCAAGACTAGGGAATTTGGGGGAAACTGAGGAGAGAGGTAATAAGGAGGACCTGAACTGTGGTGGGAGGGACTGGCTGGTGAACCCTACTGACGTCAGGGCCCCATAACCGCATCGGCAGGACCCCCACAGCCAGTTTGATAGAGGTGGTGTTGGAGAATTTAGGGAAGGTCTTGGCTGAGAGGCATCTACGCAGGACCTGGGGAGATTCCACTTCCAGAAGGCAGTGGGTCTGGTAGTTTATGGGGTGAAGGCATGCCCCAGGCAGTTACCTTGCTCACTTCTGGCTCCTCCAAAGTGGGAGACCAGGGACTCCGTCCTTCCCCTGGCACTTGGGCCGCACTCAGCCTCCTGAGTGGAGCCAGTGGGAGCTTCTGCCTCCCTTCCCATCGCGCAGGAATTCCAGGCTTCAGCCTGGCCGATGATAGGGCCCTTATCCATGCAATATCAAACCTCAGTGTGAAGGACAGATGGGTAAATAATTGTTTGGTAGCCTGGCTCTCTGGGGACCCCTAGACCGCTGCTATCTGGAGGAGACCCTGATATCCTCCAGTTCTTTGCTCAGGTGTCCCCAGACTGAGTTTCTGGCCAGGGCCTCAGGCCTCCACTCAGTGTAAACAGCCAACGGGTTTGTCCTGAGATACACCAGGATGTCGGGTGCTGGCTATGTCCAGGGGGAAAGCCCAGCCTGTCCCGTCTCAGAGCTTTGGGCTCACAGTTTGACCACACATTTTCTTTTTCCTTCAAAAGGAATCAGCCCCAATTTTCTTCCCAAGCTAGCGGCAAAATTTGGAGATCTCACCTCTGTGGTCTGTGGAATGTGAATCAGATTTTGTATGTCTGATTCAGCCACATTCACCCCACATCTTGAAGAGATGTGGTGTGCCCCTGAGGGCAGGGTGTACCCTGGCTGCTAACAGCAGACTGGGCCTGGGCTGGGGCGGGTGACGCCTGGCACCAGGTCATCCTGGTCTGCTTCATGGCAGTGTGGTTCAAGACCTCAGGGATTGCCAGGCAGCCTTGGCCTCCTGGGTCTCAGCTCTGCCCTATTCAGCACTACCAGAGCCCAGCCACTCCCAGTCGGGTGAGAGCCCTGGGCACTGGTGTTTCAGGAATGATTCCAGGCCCCAGAACACACCCGAGTCAGGTTCTCGCTTCCACTTTGCCTCCTGGAAGGTCACCAGGAAACCGTGTCCATTCTGAACCCCTGTCTTCCTGGCTGTGACCCAGTGGGCAAGCCCATTTTCTGGGTTTTCCTCTCTCTCTCTTCCCATCAGCATGGCACTGCTGCGACCCAACCCCGAGTGTGACCTCACAGGCTCTGTGCTCCGGTCCCAGAAGCTCCCAAACATCTGCGTTGTCCAAGAAGAGATGTTTGCTCTTCTCCATCTCGGGATGCTGGGATTCGGGGGTCCCAAGGGAGGGCCCTGCTCCTCCTGTCTCTCCTTGGGAGAGGAGTGGAACCCTCTTCCAAGGTCTTCCCAGGAATTTTAGGGCAGCTGCGGCCGCAGGCATGGGACAGTGCCTGGAGATGGGATGTGTGGGAGAGGAGGGATCTCTTGGTAAGGGGCTGTGGGCAGAAAAAGTCGAGGGTGCTGGGAGGGTGCTGGGAGGGCACTGGGCTTCCTTAACCAGAGCTGCCCTTTTACCATTTTACCGAGGGCTAAACACGGAACTGTAACCTTGGCCTGCCAGCTCCCTGAGACCCGTGTGTCAATCAATGCTAAGTTTGGACTGAGCTGAAAACTTTGTGGTACCTTTGTCCCTCCGGAATCTTCTTGTCCCTCCGGATTCTTCTTGCCTTGGAGGGCTGACCTAAGCGATCCCATATGAAGATTTTTTTTTGCTTTCTGGCTTCCACTTGCGTTCATCCAGTGTGGACCCCCAAAAGGAGATGGGGAGCAGTAGGACAGTGAGGAGGAACAGGGGATTGTTTTCCTGGCTGCCTCCCTGGGGGGCTCCCATGGGCTGCTTGGTCCATCCACTGAAGGTCCCACGCAGCTCCTGCCAGGCGGCTCACCCAACAGTCCCCTTTGCCCCTGGGTTCTGGTGAGGGTGGCTTCCCTTCCTGCTTGAGGCTAGAGGTGAGCGGAGTTTCTGGACTACCCAGGGGCAGTTCACCCTCCCTCCTGGCCACCCAACACCCTCGTGCACCTCGGGGAACAGTCTTCTCGTTAATCCTCCATGAATGAGCCAATGTGAGTGGTGTCCACCTGTTTCCTGCTGGCGCTCAACAGAAACACACTGGGGCCCTGAGCCCAGGTGCAGAGCCGGCAGTGCTGGCCAGTGCTTACCGTGAATCCGATGCCCACAGTAGCCGAGAAGGAGCCCGGGATGAACTTGCCCTGATCAAACTGAACCAGCAGAGACGTCTTTCCCACGCCACTGTCGCCCACCAGGATGGTCTGGAAGGGAGCAACAGAGAGAGGGGTGAGGGGCTGCAATGTGAGTCAGCCTCAGAGATGTCCCTGTGGCTACGGGAGTGGGTTTTTTCTAAGCATGCATGTGCACAACATGAACACACACAAACACACATGCACAAGACACGGACACACACATGCAGACACAGAAAAACACATGTATATATACATACACAGAACACCCATGCACATACAAATAGAAATGCACACACAGAGCACACACATGCAGGCAGACACACACAGAAACACACATGCATACAGAAATACATACACAGACACATATGTACAACACATGCACAAAAAAACATGTACACAGAGAAGCACAGAACATACAAGCACACACACAAACACATGCACACACAGAGAGGACACATATATGCACACAGACACATACACAGACACACAAAACATGTGTACACACAAAAACACACATACATGCATGCAATACACATAGAACACACACATGCACATGCACATGCACACAGAATGTGCACATGCACACAGACACACACAGAAGCACATGTACCAACATGTACACACATATACCAACACATACACACATATACAAATACAAGCACACATGCATACACACAGAAACACATTTGCACAGACATGCATACACACAGACACATGTGCACACACACATGCACACAGAAACACACATGTACACAGATATGCACAGAGACACAGATGCACATGTACACACACAGAAACAGAAACACACAGACATACATACACAGACATGCACACACAGACACACATGAATACACAGAGACATGTGTAACACAAATATATATATATACATACATATGCACATACAGACTTGGGCACATGCACACAGACAAATATACACAGGCACTGACACACAGGCACACACATTCACAGACATGCAGCATATACACAAACATGCACACATGCACAAATATACACACAAATATAAACACAAACACAGCCACAGACATGCACATACATACATGCAAACACATACACATGCACACAGACACACAGACACTCACACATACACCCAGACACACAAACACATTAAAGTCTCGATTTTCCACTGAAGTCACTGAAGAGGCATGAAGGCACAGAGGAGATCTCCCCCCAACCCAAGTTTATGAGCATCTGAAGTGACCATGAGAATGTGTCTTTAGGGTTCCTACCACAGGGGCATAAATGACGGAGGGTCCCCACTGCCATGCTCTAAAATCCATCATTGTTGTATTTGCACCGAAGTCATGCTTCCTACGGGCAATTACCAGCCAAATGCAGAGCAAGGCAGGGACACTGAGACAGCCTTGTGCCTGGGAGACACAGGACCCCTCTAATAGTTGAGTTTGCTCAAGGACTCCCTCATGGCCTTGCACGACCCTCCAGAGACTCCACGGTGGTCTAGGATACTTTCACACAACCTTTCTGACCTCTCTCCTTCACGGGGGATCCAACCTGCATCATGGTGTGAAGGCTCCCCCGGCCTCCCTGGCATCTACTCTGTTTTTCTCATAGGCATTTCCTCCAGTAAAACTCTTGCACATTTAATTTCTTTCTTTTTTTTTTTTTTTTTGAGATGCACTTTTGCTCTATCATCCAGGCTGGAATGCAATGGCTTGATCTCAGCTCACTGCAACCTCCGCCTCCCAGGTTAAGCGATTCTCCTGCCTCAGCCTCCTGAGTAGCTGGGATTATAGGTGCACACCACCACACTTGGCTAATTTTTGTATTTTTAGTAGAGATGGGGTTTCACCATGTTGGTCAGGTTGGTCTCGAACTCCTGATCTTGTGATCTGCCCACCTTGGCCTTCCAAAGTGCTGGGATTACAGGTGTGAGCCACCGTGCCTGGCTTAATTCCTTTCTAACTCTCCTCTTTGGAAGACCAGGACTAACACGATGTCCATAGATTTCCTGCATGGGAGAATCCCAAATAAACAGTCTATAGAAGAAAACAAAATCAGATGGCTGGTATGTGTCTTTCACACTTGGCCTTAGAGCAAGGAGCAGACAACTTTTCAAAGAAAAGCAGATCCTGGGAAAGAGGGGGAAGGCATCTTCCTCTGGGAGGTCTGAACTGGGAGGAAGTAGGGGCAATAATTAGCTTGGAAGTTCAGGCGAAAGGTTTGAAAGAAAATCATAAACAGCTGAGAAGAATGCTACATGCACCCAGAGGCTGGTACCCTCAATGAATGGATGAATGAATGGGTGAGTGGATAAATGCCTTAGTTTCTTTTCTTTTCTTTTTTTTTTTTTTTGAGATGGAATCTCACTCTGTCGCCCAGGCTGGAGTGCAGTGGTGCTATCTCGGCTCACTGCAAACTCCACCTCCCAGGTTCAAGCAATTCTTCTGCCTCAGCCTCCTGAGTAGCTGGGACTGCAGACACCCACCACGACACCAAGCTAATTTTGTATTTTTAGTAGAGATGGAGTTTCACCATATTGGCCAGGCTGGTCTCGAACTCCTGACCTTGTGATCTGCCTGCCTCAGCCTCCCTAAGTGCTGGGATTACAAGTGTGAGCTACCACGCCCAGCCAATGCCTTAGTTTCAAAGTGGACAGTGGACTCTTCCCAAAGACAAGAATTAAAGGCTGTTTAAAAGGACTAGGAGATGCAGACTTTAGCTGGACTTGTAAAAACATAAAGACATAAAAACAACAAAACCATAAAAGCATAGAGATTGACTGGCCTCCTTGGGTCAGGCCCAGTGACTGTTAAACTCTGACAATGGCATGGAAGGGAATCCGTATCAGTGTCTGCTGACCATGAGGTTGTCCATGGTGTTGACTTTGGATGTCCCCTGACTGTGCCCCCACCCACCCCCTGAACCTCTCCAGCTTTTATTTCCTCCTGGGTTAGAGAACTCATCTGTTTGTTATTTGCAGTGGTTTTAATAATTGACATCTAGAATCTACCTTCCTCAGGCTTTAAGAAGTGCTTTCTAGAGAAAATATTGCAAAATGCGAGGGGTAGTCCATTCACGTTCCCCTCATTCACATCCTAAAGAACATGACAGATTCTAATTCTTTTCGCTTTCATCTTTTCCCTTTCCAGGGTGACGAGTTTCCATCAGTTTTCATCATAGGAAACAGTCCTGTCTTCTTGGGACCTTTTCTGGCTCAGTGGGGTGCAGGGGTGCACACAGGGTTCGGCGTTTCAGATTCAGCTGAGCCTTGGCTTGGGGCGGGGCAGGATGATCCTCTCACATTGGTCACGGTCTTTTTTATCAGCTTCAGAAATCTATTGACAATGGCTGGGAATGGTGGTTCATGCCTGTAATTCCTGCAATTTGGGAGGCCAAGACGGGCAGATCACCTGAGGTTGGGAGTTCAGGCCAGCCTGGCCAACATGGTGAAACGCCATCTCTATTAAAAATACGAAAATTAGCCGGGTGTGGTGGTGGGCACCTGTAATCCTAGCTACTCGGGAGGCTGAGGCAGGAGAATCACTTGAACCCAGGAGGCGGAGGTTGCGATGAGCCAATATCGTGCCACAGCACTCCAGCCTGGGTAACAGAGCGAAACTCTGTCTCCAAAATAAAAAAAAAGAAAGAAAGAAATCCATTGGCAATGACTCTAAGAGCTTTTTACCTAGGCCATCATGGATTGCTCAGCACTGATCTATTTACAAGCATTGTTGAATTATCTCTTCCTAAGCCTAGGACCTCGCTTAGGCCTGCTCCTCCTCTGCTTGTGCCCCTCTCCATGAAGCAATGTGTCCACAAGGCCAAAGGCTCCTGTTCCTTCTGTAGACTGACTGCACTTTGCCCCAAGGTCGCTGTTACCGTTGCGCCCCTAGGTCTGTGGTGTGGCCAAGGGGTGAATGTTGGCAGGGCTGTGGACAGAGTGATGTGGAGCCTCAGGCATTCTTCTGAGAGCCTTTGGAATTGGGGTGTGCAAGGGTGGGAGGAGAAGGAGAGGAGCTTGTGGGCGGGGGGCTGGAGACAGGAGGTTGGCTGTCCCCAGGCTGCTACATTTTAGGGTGGAACTTCTGAGAATCCCACATGCTAACCTGGCTTCCAGGTTGGTAAGACGGTGTTTTGTTCAGGAGGGAAGATGAGACACACTTGATTTGATAGCTTTTTGAGCTTGCTTTAGAATGTTAAGATATTAAGACACATGGTATGTGGGTTTCCATTTGAGGCCCTGGCCTCCACATGTTAGGGATGGAGCTGCCTAAATTCATTATTTCAGATATGTGAAAGGAAAGTATCTCAGGTCCCTAAAATCAATAAGGAGAACTCAAGATGGAAATTGCTTAGGACAAACCTGCCTCCCATTCTTTTCAAAGTCACCCCTTTGCTCACTGAGATAGATGTGTAACTTCTTTTTTTTTTTTTTTTTTTTTTTTGAGACGGAGTCTTGCTCTGTTGCCAGGCTGGAGTGTAGTGGTGCAATCTTGGCTTACTGCCACCTCTGTCTCCCCGGTTCAAGCGATTCCCCTGCCTCAGCCTCCTGAGTAGCTAGGACTAGAGGCTCATGCTACCATGCCTGGCTAATTTTTTTCATTTTAGTAGAGACGGGGTTTCACCATGTCCAGGATGGTCTCGATCTCCTGACCTTGTGATCTACCTGCCTCGGCCTCCCAAAGTGCTAGGATTACAGGCATGAGCCATGACGCCCGGCCGATAGAGAAATATCTGATTACCTCCTTTGGAAAGGCTCATCAGAAATTCAAAAGAATGCTCCTCCCTGCTTCTAGTCTTCTGCCTTTGCTTTGAGTTGTCCTGCCTTTCCAGAACGAACTAATGTACTCGATGTCTCCTATCTCCCTCAAATGTATAAAGCCTAGCAGTGCCCTGACCTCCTTGGGTGCACATTGTCAGGATTTCCTGAGGCTGTGTCATGGGCACATCCTCAACCCTGGCAAAATAAACCTTCTAAATTAACTGAGACTTGTCTCAGATTTTTTGGTTTCACAGATACATAGTGGAGCTTCTCTCGCCACTCAACAGCTGCTGAAAATTCCTTAAGTTTCTCCAGATTCGTTCCCAAT